AGTGCAGAAAAACAATCAAGGCTCTATCAGAAAGGGGCTTGCTCATCACATAAGGCCCCCAAAAAGGAAATGGGGTGGAAAACCCAGGTGGAGTGAGGGATGGGCTTTAGAAGTGCCATGGGGACGCACCTTCTCTCCTCCCTCTGTAACAAGTGAGAGGACAGTGCCTCCTGTGTCTCCTGTGAAGTAGGAGACCACACTATGTGTGTGGGGGGGGGGCGGGGACTTGAGAGTGGTGGGAAGTAGAGAAAAGGCCACTAGGGAGAAAGGGAGAGCGCGCGCGTGCTGATCAGGAGCGTAGGTGGTCAGCCAGGCGGTTTCATACAGCCAGGTGAGCTTGCGGACTCTGGTTTTAGGAGGGGCACAAATCTGTATGGTTGTGATGTTCTCTAGTCACGCTCAGCCCAGGTGCAAGCATAGAGAGGGCAGTTTGGGTTTTTCCAGGCAAGGGTGATGGAAAGAAAAGAGCAAGAGAGTTGAGAATGTTGGCAAAAAAGGACTGAGATGATGGGCCATGGAATCCAGGCTCCTGTGTGAGGTGCGTCGGTTATGTTGCTAGGACGGGAACCGCTTGCGTCATACCCCGATATCCATTGTCTTCCTTCCTCACTAAAAGGAACCCTGGTATCACCAGGGGCAGCGGTGTGTACCCAGTTAAAACACCACTTCTTTTTAGTTCCTCATACAGCTAGATATGGTTATGTCCCTGAGTTCTGGCCAGTGAGATAAAAGGAAAAGAGTTGTGTGAGACCTCCAGGAATGATACTTAAAAGGAAGTGACTCAGCCGGGAAGTACATTGTTCTTGCTGTTTCCTTCTTCCTCTTTCCTAAAATGTGGATGTGATGCTTGGAGCTCCCGCAGCCATTTTGGACCAGGAGATAACCTGGAAATTAGAAGCAACATGCTGAGAAGGGTAGAAAGAAGTCTAAGCCCCCGATGACTTTGTGGAGCTGTGGGACTCTCAGGCATCTTAGATCACAAGCCATAGACATAAAAAAATTTTCCTTCGTTCAGTTGCGTTTTCTTCCCTCTCTGTTTTCATGTGGGTTCCCATCAAAACTTGACTCTTTTAGCCTTTTTAGTAGTAACATGGCCTGTGTCTTGCCATATAGCAGGAAACAATTTGGTCAAATGTTTCAAGAGAGCATAACAAGAGTTACCAACTTCCTGGCTTGAAATAACAGGGCCGTCATTGCCCTTTGCCCTCCCTCCTCCCTTCAGCCAAGTGTATGTTATAGGGCCCATTTGTTATGTCACTCTCTTTCCTGTCTTTACATTCTGTATCAGTTAGTATGCTTCTGGCTACAAGAAAAAGAAAACTCAATGCAAGATATCTTAAATAATAGGATTTATTACCTCACAAAAGTCTGGAGATAAGGTGATCCTAGGATTAGTTAATTCAGCATCTCAGCAATGTCATAAAGGACCCAGACTTTTCCCATTTTTCTGTTCTGTTATCTTCAGCATGTTCTTCACAGGCTAACTCCCCTAACGTTTAGAAGATGGCTTCTGCAGTCCCAGACATAATGTGCAAACATGAAAACCTCCCGCAGAATATAAAGGACTACTTCCTCCTTGTGTTTCTCTTCACAAGAGTGAAGAAGTTTTCCTTGAAGGTCTTTCAGCAAACTTACCTTCATTCTCACTCGCCAGAACACACGGCCACCACTAAACCAGTGAGCGGCAAGAGGGATGGGATCACCACAGGTGGCTCAGACCCGGAGGATTCACCCTGGTCACGGGAGGAAGGCGTGGGCTCTGCCAGGTTGGCAGCAAGGGAATGACTGTTGGGTAAGCAGTCAAAAGTAGACAGGGGAGAAAGTAAAGAGAGGAGGCGGGTGGTGTATCTGGATAGAGTAGAGGTATTAATGTTTCAAGGTTCCAGTGAGATGAAAGAAGAGTGTATTATTGCCAGTAACTAGGGACATTTGGAATTTAATATTTCAAAGGAAGAGCAGTGGAGGATGTTAAAAAGGTAGAAGGTGTAACTGTGGAAATGAGTGGAAATAGGATACAGTGGAGACGGTCGTTAGTGCTGAGGTCAAAGATCCAAGAGGCTGGCAGCAGGTTTCTCAAAGGACAGGTCGTAGAGGCTATGACAGGCGGGTCTCCTGGGAAGGAGGTGGCCAGGGCCTAGATTGCTGGCACACGCTCGCGAGAAAGGCCTCAGAGGCACTGCTGACCATGGGTCTGGGGCCAGGTCACAGGTGCCTGGGGCGGTGCTGGCAAGCGGCCCAACGTGTCTGAATCCCAGTGTTGGCATTTTGGAAACCCCCCCCTGGTTGGTCAGGCCCTTCTGGAGAGGGGTAAGGCCCTGTCACCTTCCTGCTGGAGCCACTCAAGGACCCTCAGAAGACAGTCCCACGGGGGACCCCTAGGGACAGGGTAAGGAGGAATGGGGCAGAGGTGGCTGCCAGGGATGGCAGATGTGCCCAGCTGTTCTCAGGAGCTGCCTCTTCTCCGCCCACCCCGGCCGGGTCGCCTTCGCTCGGCCTTGGGTTATCTGGCTAACCTCTGGCACTTCCAGCTGTAGTATCCCAGAGTCAGGAGGAGGACGGTGAGGCTTCTCGGCTCCTCTACCTGGATGGGGCCTTGGCTAGGAGTGAGTGGGGGAGGCGGGCACCCGATGTAATGGCCAGAGCAGCCGCCCTGTTACTACGGCGTATTTCACTTTTAATTCTGACATATAATGTAATGATCTTTTTTAAGGCCCGATGATATTATCTGCCTGACTAGATTATTGAGTCTTCATCATCTCCAGATAAATTTATGGCCAGGACGAGGCTCAGGATTTATCATCAGTCAATAGAGCTCGATACTCTAACAAGGCGTGTAATAAGATATACATATTTAATGATCCAAGGGGAGGAGCGCTAATGGGAGCCCAGAGTGAGTGGTCCACAGGGCCGGGGCTCTGCCCTAGGGCTGCCGTAGCTGTAGGGGCATGGGTGTGGTCTTTGCCCTGTGGTCCCCAACTCTGGCCTTTCTCATGACCACCTCAGTGTCGTCCTTGTTAACATCCAGAGGGAGAGGCAGACAGGGAAAGGAAGAGGAGGCAGTAGGGGAAGTGTCGGAGCTGGGACCTAGGCCTCTTCAGCCCAGCCCGTGTAGAGACAGCCCACCAGGGAAGTCCTGTCCCTGCTTCTGGGCCTGGGGTGGGGGTGGGGAGTAGCGGTGTCCTTAGACCTGTACACCCAGGCCCCTGAGCGCTAGGGCAGGCCCACGAGGGGAGGGAGTGCCGCGGCTGCGTGCCCAGGCCGCGCTGATAGTGACGGATGGTTTTTCATTACAGCCTCTCAGGTCCTGCCCGCGCCCTGTGTGTGGAAATTCTATTTATTCCCTAATTTGTAAAAATTCCCTCTTTATCTGATCCCAATCAGGGCGGGGTAATTGGCTCTCTGGGGCAGCGGCTGGGGTCCTTGATGAAGAGCTATGTGGATGTACCCAGCCCGGCCCCCACCCAGCCCGCCACCAGGGCCCACAATTAATAATGATTTGCAAATGGCAGACAAGCAATAACACAGAAAGATGTGGCGTCCGTGCTGCCTCTTCATTTCCTCCCCTCGCAGATATAAATGGCCACAGAACAAAAACCCAGCACTATAAATTCTGGAATTAGTTATTCACTGGGATAAATGGGGCCTGGAGCCACCAGCCCCTCTCCCACCACCCTTCTTGCCTGCTTTCCCTGATCCAGGTGTGTTCCCAGGCCCGAGGCCTGGCTCCTCTGTACCTTTGGCTCATGGCTCAATTCCCCAGTTCCCTCCTAGACCCTTCCCGCTACTGTAGCTAGCCCTTCCTGTGTGGCCCAGAGTTGGGAGCAGTCACCTGCTCTGGATCTGTGGCTTCCTCAGCCTCTGCCTCCTCTCATTGACCTCTCTTGGCTGCCCAAGCAGGCTTTTGTCCCCACTCTGCGCTAGGGTTTGAATGGAGGTGACAGGTCCCGCCCAGCCTGGGAGTCTGGGTCAGGGTTGGTCTTGGGTGTCATCTTTGGCATTTGGGACCAATCCGGTCATTTGCCTGGGCAAGTCTGAGTTGGGCTTCTGGTGGCCAAATGCGATGTAAGTGACATAAGGCTTTGACGCCTGCTCGCTGGCCAGGCTGTTGTGGGATGTTGGCACAGGCGTTTCCGGGCGCTCTGCCCTCTCGGCCAGGCCCACGCTCTCCCCGCCCCCCAAGTGGCTCTGAGCTGGCGGGTAATGGGCGTGTAATGGCCTCATTTCCATGCCCGGCCTCCAGGAGCGGCGGTAAGTGTTTGATTGCCTTAATTTCCAAACACATCATTATCCCAGCTTTACCAGCGCTTAATAAACACTTTATGAGGATTTTTTTAAAAACATCTTCGGTCCGCATACTTCTCTGAAGTGATAAACTCTAATTAAGTCTAATATTTAAAAATATGGTAATGGTGAGTTGTTTGAATAAGTGGACTGCATTTCTGTAATTTCATTATTACGTAAAACACGCTAATTATTTGGAGCGCGCTTATTACGGAGAGAGAAATCGCCTGCTAATCAAGATGAAATTGCCTTTTCCCCTTATTGTGGAACCACCGTCATCCTTCACCATCAGCCCTGTGGCACCTCCAGGCACCTCGGTGGGGTGGAGGGGGCGGAGGGGAGGGGCTAGGAGAAGGGGTCACTTTGGAGTTGAGGCTATAAGGGCCCTGTCTGGGGGGAAGCAGAGGGAGCTGTGGGAGCCGTGTCTGGGGAGAGGGTTCTATATCTGGGGGTGGTGTCAGGTGGGCCAGGGTAGCCCTGTCTGGGCGCCCAGGGGACTGCGTGGGCCATGTCTGGGACAAGGGAACGGACTTGTGGGATCTCAGGGTATTGCTGCTGGAATAACATTATTATTGGATATTATTGGAATAGCAACCACAATAATAATCACTCACCCAGCCACTGTTTTAAGCACTTCACAAATAAAAACTCATTTCATCTTTTCAACAACCCTTTGAGGAAAGTAGTTGCTATAATTATCATTATTGTTCCCATTTTAGAAAAGAAGAAACCAAGACACAGAGAGGTGAAATAAAAGCACCGTAACTTGCTCAAGTTCACAGTTAACGAAGTGATGGAGTTTGGATTCGAACCCAGAATCTTAGGATATCCAGGGCTTTCTGCTGGTTCAGGCCCAAATTCACTGCCTTGGCTCCTGTCTTCCTTCAGAGCTACGCTGTGCTCTTGTACCCTGAGTTGTACCCAGCTGCAGCTTGAGATGCTGGCCCCCAGTATAGAGTTGCCCAGTTAGCAAATAAAAATATAGGACACCAATTAAATTTAAACTTCAGCCAAAGAACAAATAATTTTTTTAGTATAATTATGTCCCCTCTGGGGCTGGGGACTTATTAATCTGGCAGTCTTCTGTCAAGTAGGCCCAGCATTGACCCACTGGCCCTTTGCTCTCAGGCACGTTGCTGCCAAGATGTGCAAACAGAAAGATGTAGCGGCCAAATGAGGTTCTAGAATGTCAACACACCAGGGTTCTTGCTCTCTCTCGTCTTTACTAAGGTTCCTGCTTCCAGTGCTGTTCTCCCCACCCCATCCCTGCTCCATGGGCTCTGGCCCCATTCCTCACCAGCTCCTGGAGATCACTAAGACAGTGTGCTTACCAGGCTGAGCTTTTTAGGCAGGAGGCCTCAGGTTTGTCTGAGTCTTCCTTTAGGCCACACTGCCTTGCAGCCCTATAAAGTCAGCAGCGTGTCACCCTGCTGCCCCTGATGTCTGCCAGTCCAGTTCGCCGCTTTGATCATTTCATATTCATTCTCCTTCCTCGCTCCAACAGACTCACGTATGGGAATTGTATATATAATAGAGGCATCATTTCAGAAGGGTGGGGAAAGTGTGGACAGTTCAGTCAATGGTGATAGGACAGTGGCTATCCACTAGGGAAGAAAAGTAAAGTTAGATCTTCTATTTCTCCCCATATATGAAAATAAATTCCAGACAGATTAAAAAGTTAAATATAAAAACAAAGTATTAGAAGAAAATATATGATAGTTTTCTAATAGCACTGGGATAGGGAAGGCCTTTTTCAGTGAGATACAAAGCCTAGAAGCTGTAAAGGAAATGCCTGATACATTTAAATGTCCCATAGGAATCTCAAGATTAACACTAAGGTCATCACTGGCCCAAACCTACGGCACCTCAGGTTTGCCTTACCTCCATGAGTTTGACTAAGATCCTAGACTCAGCCCCCTACAGACCCACACCCTGATCTCTCCCCATTAAGCCTTGCTCATTCTGTTTCCTTAAAATCTCTTGCCTCTGTCCACGTCTCCACGCCGTCAATACATTCCCATCTCCGTCCCCGCCGCCACTGGCCTGGTTCTGGGCCACCGTTTCTGGCCTGGACCATAGTACAGCCTGCTAGTCAGTGTCTGTGCCTTCAGGGTTAACCCCTCCAATCCTTGAAACACAGATAGGCTCCTGTCTTGTCCCTCCTCATATATGTTAGCGTCTCCCCGTCATTCCCAGAATAAGAAGCTCTGAAGCTCCTTAGCTTAGCATCCAGTCTCCAGGGGTTCCTCTGGCCAGTCACTGCTGACCTGGCCAGCTTCGCCTCTCGCACTCCCCTGCCTCTTACTCTTCATCACGCCCACCGCCTGCTAGACTTACGTGTTTTTGGACACACTACGTTTCCCCTCCAGCAAGGTGCCCGTACTATTCACTATGCTGGGATCACCTCCGCACTTCAAGCCCGGCTTGCTGGCCAGCTCCCCCCGCCCCGCCCGCCCCCACCGCCATGTGCCCTCAGACTTCCGCCTGGCTTTGTCCTCCGGGGAGCCCTTTCCTGATTCTCGGTGCCTTTTCTGTGCCGCCTTTCCCCGTGGCACTGCTCACACCACACCACTTCCGGGCCTGCCTCTGAGCTCCTTGAGGGCAGGGAGCAACAGTCTGCAGCGAGGCTTGTGACCCGGCACGGCGCGTGTGCACCCAGCGCACAGAAGTGTCAGTGTGTGTTTGCTGAATGAATGAGTGCACGAATAAATGGTCCTCCAAGAGTTTCCTTGGGCCCTTTCCCTGCTGAGGGTGGTCCTCGCCCAGGCCCTGCTTCCTGCCCTCTACTGTTCAGTCCCCAGACAAGTGCAGCTAACTGGAGCGGCCTCCGGTCATTGTCCTGTGTCAGCCCTCACTGGGTGTCCTATGTGGTCTGAGCCCCCCTTCCACTAGCAGCTTGGCCAAGCAGATATTCAACTACCCTTGGGCCCAGCCAACAAGCTTATCCAAGTCAGGTGCTAGCCCCACTCACCTCTTGGAGGGATTTAAGCAGCTGCACATCTCCCGTTATGGTCTTGGCAATATAAAAATATTTCCAGTGTTAAGAATATTAATGCCCCTGGGTGCCTGGGTGGTTTAGTTGGTTAAGCGACTGCCTTCGGCTCAGGTCATGATCCTGGAGTCCCGGGATCGAGTCCCGCATCGGGCTCCCTGCTCGGCGGGGAGTCTGCTTCTCCCTCTGACCCTCCTCCCTCTCATGCTCTCTGTCTCTCATTCTCTCTGTCTCAAATAAATAAAATCTTTAAAAAATAAATAAATAAAATAGTCCTTTAAAAAAAAAAAATATTAATGCCCCAAACAGAAGAGAGTCATCTTGTCACAAGCTGATAACCCTGCAGGAACATAAAATCAGGTTAGTCTTCTAGAATTTGGAGGTAAGGAAGACCTACCTCGGAGGCCTCCATTGTGGGCACAAGACTGTGTGCCTCCCACCCCTTACCCTCTACACCATAATGGGTTCCGGCTGGCCTCATTAGCTCAGTGAGAGGTGCCAGAAGCGGGGGCTGCTGACCCATGTGGCCCCAGGGCTTCAAGCAGAGGACTCTCCCAGAGGCCATGTTGTCACCAGCCTCACCCTGCTGCTGGCTCTCTCTGAACTCCTGGCCTGTTAAAAGGCCCAGATTTGCCTCTTCACCTCTGCCCCATTTCCTCATTTTCTAACTGTGCCATTGACTTTTTAAACTGATCAGTAGGTTGCACTGACTCATGAGGTTTCAAGGGCTAGAAAAAGAGCCTGGGCTGGAAGCCCATAACTGCCATACCACGGACTTGGTGAACTGAAACAAGTGTCTTCCCAATTCTGGGTCTCTCTTTCTTGGTTGTGGTGGACCAGTTACAACAAGGTGGGCTCCAGAATCCTCAGTAAACAGGATCAGTAGTCAGTGTGAGCTCGTGCGATGAATGCCGGCTGCTCTCATTGCGTGTGCTGGCCTCTCTGTCATCTGTGCCAGAGATTGTATGGTATATACCCTCTCACCGTTGGGTCACCCGGGAAACTAGCGTCCTTGCCTCCCCTCCAAGAAGAGGACGTATTCCAAACCTAAAGCACCGACAAAGACGGGGTGTGGAAGGGTGTCACCTGCTCAGTGCTCACAGTTAACACATGTAGCGTCCCTTATCACCCCTAGTGGAGGAACCTGAAGTTCAAAGAAACGTAAGCACTTGCCACAAGCACACAGCCAGTGGGCAAAGTTAAGACTAGAAATGCGTCTGCCTTTGTCATTTTCAGAAAACAGAGGTTCCTGGAGATTGGAACACAGGGATTGGGGGTAGAGAGTGGCAGAGGTGAGACCAGAGAGAGCAGGGACCCGTTTTTACAGGGCCTTTACCTTTAAGTCCTATTAAAGAGTATAGCCTTGAACCTGAGGGCGGCGGGAGCCATTGAAAGGACTTAGACGAGGATGTGATCACTTGGGCTACAAGAGAATGGATTAGAGGGAGAAGAAAGAGGATAGGCTGTGTAAGAGCAAGAGATGATGGGGTCTGCACTGGGGTGGGGGCGGAATGAAGGGAAGTAGATGATTAAACAGAAGAAGATAAAATCCAGTTGATACTTGGGATTTGGGGAAGGAGAGGGCAAAGTGTCAAGCCTGATTCTCAGGCTTCTTTGGGAGCACTTGGGGTGCTGTTCACTGGGATGGAGAACACTGGGTAGTGAAGACATGTGGGGAAGGAAATTGCATTACTGGGATGTTTTGAGTTTGTATGGATCTAGAAAGAGATGTTCCAGAGCTCAGGAGAGGTGCAGGCAGGAGATGGCGATCTTCAGGGCTCGCTGAAGCTCAGGGTGTGGATGAAGCCAGCCAGTGTGTGTCAAGTGCAGAGAGGTCAAGGACAGACTGGGGCCAGGCACAGGTGGGAGGTCAGTGCTGGCCCACTGGATGGCTGGTGACCTGGCGGGGAGGGGCTGGGCACATTCACTTGGGCCAGGGGAGGTAGATTGAGCGATTTGTCCGGCAATGAGGGAGGAGCCAGATGAAGTCAATAGAAAACTAATTTTCTTTTCTGCTGGAAGAAATGAGGTGTGTGGCCGCTGGGTAATTGCAGATAACGAGGGGACTTATTCTTAATATGCACAGTGGCCATGGTCCCCAGAGTGCAGGAGACAGGAAGGATTGGAGGTGCCCTGACAAGGCCGGACTTCTCTGGGAAGCAACTCACCCCGTCGTAGCCTTTTTGACGGTGCCATCACAGCCTCTGGACCCTATCATAAACCCTCCTGCCCCATCTCCAGCCTGCCGCCTTCCCCTTCCTGTCAGCTGCCTCACTCCTGTCGCATCCCCCTCCCTTCACCCTCTACCCCCACAGCACAGGCATACACACTAAGGGAGACAAATGATGGGGCCTCAGCTGAGCGGGGTGCGTGTCCGGCCCATAAACCACGGGGACGGGTCACGTCTGGAGTTGCCATGGCCGCCACTCCCCACCCATCTGTCTTCCCACTGTCCTGCCTCAGACCAGCCCTCGTGGCGTCCTGGGCCCCTGGAGGAAAAGGGTGTCCCCGTGTCTGGGTATCACTTTTCCATGCCCACATTCCCCTTGGGTGCGTTCATGTCGAGGTCTGCGAAACAGGACCCTGTGTGACCTGTCTGCCCTTACAGAGTCGCATCTGGCTAATGACACGGGACCTGGGCTGGCCAAGACGCCCGCTTCCACAGCCCTTTTCTAGCGCTGTTGGGCCCCGTTTCCTAGTCTAAGGTTCTAGCAAGGGCAGGCTGGAGGGCTCAATGGAAGGGGTTGGCCCTTGACAGATGCAGAGGCCTCCTGACCCCACCTTGACCTTGCCACCACCCCACACCTGATTATGACATCGAAGTATAATGCTTCTGCAATCACAGCACCGATCCCATGAGGGCTGGTAGCGGCTGAGGTCCTGGTTATGGCCCAGGACTGTCTATGGGAGGTGGGAGAGGGGTGGGAGGAGGGGCAGGCGAAGGGATGGGGAGCTGGCTGGTGTTCTGGGCAGTGGAACAGAAAAACCCTGGGCACTTAGGCCATTTCTGTCCTTGGCTTTCTGTAGAGGGACAAGCGTTGGGCAGCTGCACCTCCTGCTGGTGGCGTTAGAACTAGCCCAGGCCTATGTCCATGATACCGAAGGCACGGAGCACCTGCTCCTGCAGCCGCCGGGGTTCTAGGAGTTGCTCACAGGGACCAGTACTGGAGAAACTGCTGACATGGTTTGGCAGGAGCAGACCTACTTAGGTACAGCCAGAGGCAGGACCGAAGCCTGACTGGCACCAGCTTTGGGCCTAGTGGGGGGGAGAGGCAGGGCTTAGACTGAGCACACAGGCATGTCTAGTAGAAGATTGCTGGCCCAGGTGTCAAAGGTCCACAAACCTGGACCCTCTCCGCTGCTCTGGGGCGACATGGGAGAGCAGGTGCCCAGAGCAGGCTGACCAGGCCCCCGGCCCCAAAGTGCCAAGGCTTGTGCCTCGTCACCAGCGATTATGGCCTGGGCCATATCTCTCTCTCTCTCACTCACACACACACACACACACACACACGCAAATGCCGGCAAAGTCACCCTGGCCGTGGGCGTGATGAATGGCCGCACAGTAATGAAATGGAGACATCAAGGCGGGTGGCGGGAAGACGGAGTGTGGCGGACGGGCCGTCCCCACGCGGCGGCAACAAGAAGGATCGCCCAGCGGCCGGGGGCCGTCAAGGGAGAAATTACACATTTACTCTGCCTTTTTCTTACTGCGACGGCGCCCATACATCACCGCTGGGGCCGGGGTGGGACATGCCGGCCAATTTCCAGCATGAATTATGGGCCTGAGCAGCATTGAGACCACGCTTCCTGCCGGCCCAGCCTCATCCAGCCCAACCTGAGGCTGGAGATGCTGCCACCAGGGCACAGGACCCCCTGGTTTAGAGCTCCTGAATCTGACCCTACTCCCCTCCCCCACAATGTAAGAGCACCTGTGGTGGGCACAGAGGGGAAGGATCTGGGACCCATCTAAATGTCTTCTCTTTCTCTTCTCAGATGACTGCAAGAACATTGCCAACATCATGAAGACACTTGCATATCAAGGCTTCATTTTCAAGCAGACATCAAAGCCATTCTGATCGGCCGAGGACGGGATGGGGCAGGACAGGGTAGCTGCTTGGCCCAGCCCAGAACCCTCCTTTCCCTCACCAGAGGGGAAAAGGGAGAGTGGCACAGCTCTACATCCAGAGTGTCCCCCAGCCTGCCCTGTGGGCTTGTGCCCTGGGTAAGGCCTTGGCCACTCGGCCCCTCTGGAGCAGACACTTTGTGCCCCCCACCCCAACCCCTCAACCACAGCCCAGTATTAGCCCCTCCCACTGTGGGCCTGGGCTAGGGGGACCCAGGCACTCACCGCCTCTTCCCTGGTACACAGGCTTCTGCTGGGGCCACTGAGCCCCCCTGTGCCCCCTCCCATCTGTAGTGCATGGTGTGTGGTGCCCCCAGGGCTCCAGGACAGATCAGGCCCCACCTTGTGTCTACCCCCATCCCCGCTGTGAACGTGCCACTGAATAAAGTCGGGGAAACGAGGCTCTGGGTGTGTGTGGACCAGGCGCTGCTGTGCCTGATGCCGTCCAAGGTGTACAAGGGCTAGAGCACGTTCCGGGCTGCTCTGGGCTGAAGGCCACCGGTGCGGCTGGCTGTCACTGGAGCACCTGTGAGACCCTCCCTGAATAAGCACAGGGCCGCGGGGACTGTCTAAAAGCATGAGGCAGTGTTCCAGTGGCTGGTATCTGAGGCCGCTGCAATGGGTGAACCACCTTGAGTGCAGAACCAAGTACAGATGTTTGGGCAAAACTGGCGGTGGTGAAAGGGCTGCTAAGGGCCTCCCCGCAGGCAGGTCCCAATGTGACCCCTGTGGAGTCGGGGTGGTGACTGCTCCCACATGCCCCCCCCCAAGCCAGAGGCATCACAAGTGGTGGGAAGGAAAAGGAAGCAGCCTGGTCCAACTCTGCAGCTCTATTTACACAGCAGCACCCACACCCCGTGTGGCCTCTCATGGCTTCTTGGCTTTCTTCACGGAAGAGGAACTGGAGGCTGATTCCCGTCGCTTCCTCTGAGAAGACACAGAAGGCGCTGGAGTCAGTGGCCCCCAAAGCTCTACTCGGGCTTGGTGCATGTGTTTCACACTCAGGGCAGGTGATGCCCAGCGGCCACCCAGTCCTACCCTCAGTCCCAGAACCCAGCAGAGTAACCACTCCCACTGCCGGCACGAGAGGGAGCGGGGCCCGTTCCAGGCTCTTACCGAATTGGGCGTGAGGGGCGCGCCCACCACATCAATGATGGTGTCCTTGGTGGGGTCGGGGCCGAGGCCGGGTTCGGGTACCGCTGGCTCCGCAGGGGCTGGGGCCGGGCCGGGTGCTGGCGTGGCGGGGCCCCCAAGCACGCCGGCCCTGGCCAGGGCCTCGTGCCGGTGCCGCAGCATCTGCAGCTCGTACTCGCAGTTGGCGCAGGCCTGCTTGAGCTCGTAGAGCAGCACCAGGTCGCTCCGCAGCTCGTTGAACATGTGCACCAGCTCCTCCGTGGGCGTCGGGCTCAGCTCTGCAGGCGGCGGGTGGAGGGCGCAGGCAGAGCCAGGGTGTGCGGGAAGGCCAGCGACCGGAAGTGGCCCCCCCCCCCGCCCAGCCTTGATGGGCGGCCGCGGGTGGGTAGCTCCTGCGGGCCCAGTCCCCACTCACCCACACCAAGCTCCAGCAGCATCTGCTCCAGGGCCTTGATCTTCTTCTG